ACTACCCTTATGCAAAGGTCTTGGATCTTAGGCATAGCACTCAGCCATTTCTCAGTCCTGGCTCTGCACAAGTTGTAGAAAGTCACTGGGCTGAAGTCAGGAGGCTGACGTTCTTCTCGATGCGGTGGTTCACATTTTCCGTAACAGAGGAAATGAACGTGGTGAGGTTTGAGATTTCTTTAAAACTATTAATACACCTCCTTGCAAATGAATGGATTTCTGAAATTTCAGTGTACTGTGAATCCTATAATCTTCAAACAGAACTGTTTTTTTTCGTTTGTCTGGTTGGTTTTTTTCAGTATTGGAGTTTTCGGCTCAGGGCCTCATGCTGTGTACCGCTTGAGGCATTTCCCCATTGATTATTTTCCAGTAGGGTCTTGCACTTTTGCCTAGGCTCAAACTGTGATCCTCCTACATCTATCTCTTGCATTGCTGCAGTTACAGGTGTACCCAACCATGTCCAGCTTGTTATATGAGATGGTTATCGTTGACTTTTTGCCTGAGCTGCATTCAACACAGCATCGACCTATTTCTGTCTCCCTAATAGCTGGGATTATTGGCATGAACCACCATCCTTGCCCTAGTTTTTTCATATATGTTGAAGAACATTATATACAGGTTGATGGAAGATCATGAATATGTTTCAGATTTTAAATTCTGATTCATTAAGAATTAATTTGTTTAGCTTGCAGACAAGTTTTTAATTTAAGCATTTTTTAAATTGTGGTTATGGTAGTGACCACCACTTAATTTTAAATTTGCTAATTGGAGGATGAGATGATAATGGACCTTGCTGTTTTAGTAATTCCTCAAACTTGAATATAGTGTGACACTTTTATAATGTCAATTTAAATCATGTTTTATAGTTAGGCCCATATATGTGATGATTATCAATTGTTATTTTTAAGTAATGACTGGTTATTGATCATATAATTGTATGATCTATTCATTTGAAAATTTAAAAATACAACTCGACATATGACACGTCTGTAATCCCAGCAATGTGGGAGGCGAAGGTGTCAGGATCACAATCTGAGACCATCCCGGGCAAAAGAGAGACCGTACCTGAGAAGCAAAGAAAAGCACAGAGGGCTGGGGCATGGTGCAAGAGGTAGAGTGCTTACCACAAGTACCAGGCCCTGAGTTCAAATCCAAGACTACCAAAAAATAAAGTAAAAAGTATGGAGTATAAGGTCATTCCTAACGCAGTGGAAATAAAGCGATTGACCGCATATTGCAGAAAAAAAAGAAAAGAAGAAAATGTATTCATTTCACAGCAATTATCTACAGTATAATATGTTTGCTTTGTAAGTATCCATTTGATTTTTGGACTCTACACATTTAATATAAAGAGATTTGGTGACAATATTTAAGGCTATACATTTTAACTTTTACTTTATAAGACTACCAAAAGGCAAACCATTTTTCAACTAATTTTGTCTCTGTATAATGACTTCATTTATCAGAGTTTTGGTGCCTAAGGATCAGTTGTCTCAAACAAGAATGCTGTTATTCCAAAGATCCTTAAGTGGTAACAAGGGTGGTGACTGTGGACAAGACCTTGGTCCACCAAGCCCAGCTGGTGTATTTGCTATGAATGAGTCAAGTGCAAAGCTCCCACCTGCCCTCGTAATTGCAGCTGGTGAAAGCACAGGTGCTCTGTAAGGGCTTAATGTCTAAGTGCACAGGTCAGCACCCAATGGGCAGAACATAAGCCACTGTCTTATCTACAGTATGGTGTTTCTTTCATCTTTGAAGGTCAGAATTCCTACCTGAAAATGACCCCTGGACTTAAATTATGGAAGCCATTAGCAGCTTTGCTTTTCTTTAAAATATAGTCACTTAGAAAGAAAAGCTTTTAAAATATAGTCACTTAGAAAGAAAACCTTTTGAGTTTAAACTGTGATTTAATTTTCAGAATAAATATTGAAATTCAATTATTTTATTTATGTAGGTCTACAGAAATGTAAAATTATTTCAAGTCTAAAGAATGACTAAATGCTAGCAGGATAGTGTTAGCATTCAAAGCTTAGCTATGCAGTAGTTTTGGTTTGGTTTTTAATTTTTTTTTAAAGAATGGAACGTATTTTACAACATGTACTTTTTTTGTTTAGGAATTGTATAATTGACTATTTTAAGATTTCAGAATTTTAAGGTAAGCCACTAATAACCATTGTCTGTATTCTTTAAAACAATCTAACTTGTACAGAAAGCAAGCATTCTTTAAGTATTACCATGTCTTAATTACTGTTTCTTGATGTCTTCCCTAAGCTTTTAATGTTTGATTCCTGTGTTTTTATATGGTGACATTTCAAAACAATCGTACACATCTTAGTCTGAAGAGGGAGTAGTAACGGCTGGTATTAGATGCAAGAAAGTGAGGCAAGCACACTCTAGGCTCTGGAACTGTCAGGAGAAATGGTAATGCCAAGGCCAAGCGGTCAGGAAGATAACAGGATTGTCCAGGGGTGGGGGAAAACATTGTGAAATCAAGATGACAACAGTGTGCTTCCCCTGGGATAACTGTAAATGGTTACAGAAATATTGGGGTATATTTCTGTTAGCATATTTTACTTATTCTCTGCAAGGAATGGTGACCTGTCCTGTTTTCCTCTGAAGTTTCAGTGAGTAACACTTGACTGTCTTAAGATTGATTCTTAAATACCAAGGAAATGTATGTTGGAATCAGTGATCACATCGTGAGCAAGCGATCTAGATTCAGCAGGGAGTAACATGCACATTTAGGAAGATACATTTATCTAGCTGAGATGTCTAGTTTTCAAATATTACATATTAGACACACAGGCTTGCATACCAGCACCGCTGTCTTTCATGTGTTCTTCCCTGTAAGTATGCATTTACATATATACATACATATATACTCAAAGCCTGAATGTTGTTTTCTAAATAGACCAAGTCATAAAATTATAGATGAAGGACAATCTAGAACTTACAAAATTCTGTTAAGCTGAAAACTCAGAGCTGCCTTATAAGGTGTTCAGATCAGTTGTCTGTTTTTCTTTATTTACTTTCCTTTTGCATTTTAAGGGCTTTGGATACATATACAGCACTTTTATAAACATATTTACTAATTTCGACAATTTTCTTCTGTGACCATAACAATGACGTCAGAATCATTATTCTTTTCTTTGGTGGTACTGTGGGGTCTGAACTCAGGACTTTGTGCTTTCTAGGCAAGCAGAATCATTTTTTTCTTTAATAAGCAGTTTTTTGCCTTTTGAAAGCATTTATTCTATATGTGTGCATGTATTTTCAAGCTTTTCTACATAAATGTCTGCACATTGAATGTGTACTAACTCTGATTAATCGAATCCCTTTTCTCAGAGTCTCTCTCTGGCTTCCAGGAATTACTAGGACTTGAAAACCCAAGTCTTGACTTTTATTGAACTTTGCTCTGTCTGTCAGGAGCTATGCTAAATGCTTTACATATATCATCCAGGCTTGGTTATTATAAAATTCTTTAAAGAAAATATTATTATGCTGATTTTAAGATGAGCACTAAAGCTAAGAGAAATCACACGGTCAAGTTCACCCAGCTATGTGGCAGAGGAACTCTGGTCCCTGCATTTCTAAACCCATGATGTTTGGGAGTCTGCAGGGCAGCTGAGAAGGCTTCCTACAGGCTGCAGCTAAAGGGACTGGAGTCTTTTTCTTACAGAAAGTGGTCTAGAGAAAGAATGTTACTCTCTGAAGGAGAAGTGGCAAACTTCTAACTGAGACTGCCTGTCTTAGCCATCTCCCAGACTAATGGGAAGAGGTACAACAGTGATTCAGTGCTTTGTTTTGTGTAGTGTTTTCTGTTTCCATCTATCACTCATCACTTATTTGTCTAGCTTCCCCACATCTCCTCATTGATAACCATTGGCAGTCCTACCTACTGCTTTCTTCCCTTCCCCATGTTCCACCCATGCTGCACAAAAAGGAGAAATCAGAATTCTCTTCCTCTCACCCGTCTCCTCACATTCACCTCTTCACTCTTAGATCGGGCAGAGTTTTTACAGCATAACAATGAAAGATAGCATGTCGTCCCATGAGAAAAAATGTCATGATGATAACCGTGCTAACTGAAAATATGGGGTTTCTCCATGACGTAATTTTGTGTTCCACCTGGGGAAGTGTTACTGGCAGCTGTAGTTCCTTTTCTTATCAGAACCCCAGCTTCTAGCACCTAGTTCAAAAGAGAAACATATGGCTTGAAGTTATTATTTAGACTTCCCAGGTCCTTTCTTCTGAACAATTTTTCTTAGGTAGGGAAAAAAATCAAATAACTCTGGCTATAATCTTTCAAAGCAAGGTGTTGATACTTGTAACCTCTATAAGCATGACATCTGAAAGGACAGATGGGTCACAAGGGAGAAGTCCTTATGTGTGTGAGGATGGAGAGATAGGCACTTGCTGTTCTTCCCCTAAGTCAAAAATTGACTTCAGTGGGAAATTTTTGCGACTCTAGCTGCAGCCTGTAGGAAGCCTTCTCAGCTGCCCTGCAGATTCCCAAACATCATGGGTTTAGAAATGCAGGGACCACAGTTCCTCTGCCACATAGCTGGGCGAACTTGACCATGTGATTTCTCTTAGCTTTAGCTGCTCATTTTAGAACAACATGTGAATGCCTTCACTTCCTCAGATATTAGTTGTCAATTTGTAAACAATTCAGGAAGAAATTTTATACTGCCTCCTCTGTGACAGGCAGCATTTAGTGGTTGAATGACAGATGGTAATCACTGGTTCATTGCTGGGGATTTAGACAGTTGATCAGTGAGCCTTTTCTAGTATAAACTCTACTACGGCATTTAAAATCAGTTACTATCAACAAGTCACATGTTTTCCTAGTCATATTTTCCACCCATCCCTGGAAGGATTTTTGGGTTGGATGTGTGCAGACTCTGGTTCACTTGAGTTGTGTGGCTTCTTAGTACACCTTTCAATTGGTATCTTACAGATGTGGCACTCTCATGCACTGTTTTTTTCTGTCTTTATAGGTGGAAATAACACTTCAGGATATTAATGACAACCCACCAGTGTTTCCAACAGACATGCTGGATCTCACCGTGGAAGAGAACATTGGAGATGGCTCAAAGATCCTACAGCTAACAGCCCTGGATGCTGATGAGGTAGCTCAGAGGATGTCTCTGAATTTTTGAAACTTGGCACAGCAGTGATTTATCATATTTCAAGTGTAGGTTGTCAACTTTTATTGTGCAATAATTAATAATAATAATAATAATTGTGTGCTTCGTCCAATAAAACATATGTCAATGTGTTTGAAATGTGACATAAGAATATTATAGAAACTCTCAATAGGTAATTTTTCTTTGATCAGCAGTTCATAACTCAGTTAATAGCTGCCTGTATTTTAGATTTCTGAGCCAAACTACTTTACTTTCTCCAATAAGAAAAGTATTTAAAAGCATCTTTTTATGCTTTTATCATTCTAATTTGCTACTTTATAGCTGTTAAAGTTCCCTTGTTAATTCATTTATAATTGTAAAAAGCAAATAATTTAAAATTACAAGTTTTTAAGATGCTCTCATTTAATTTGCATATGGATATGTAATACATATGCATTTTAAAAATCACCTAAGGTATTTCAAGTACAGTATGCAGGCAAGCTGATTATTTTCAGTTCCTTTAATAAACATAAAGTTCATACTTAGTGGTGAATTTGTGGGCACAGCTTAGATTATTATCTCATATGCATATTTTAAGCTTAGCTATGCAATCACATGCCCCAAATGGGTGAAAACTTAAACGGTTTATAATTTACAATTTATCCCATAAAAACACGTTGCTCATATTCTTCTTTTGCAGGGTAATAGGTTTAAATGCATATTGTAAGCACCATTGTAAATGTCACACTGTATCCCTGGTACAACTATAAGATGCTAATCGATAAATAAAAGAAGGGGGAAAAAGGCTTTTAATTTGGAGAAAGAGTAATAATTTTCCTTGACACCATTACCATTACAGCCTGACAGGATTCCCCTGAGAAGCCACTGCAAGGAGCACAGATACTATGTTCCTCACACTCATCTAAACCCCAGGAATATCTGAAAATTTGATTTTTGGCCTATGAGTAAACTCTTCATGAATTTTCCTCTTTAACTTTAAAAAAATGGACAAATAAATGACCTTCTACTCTTAACAGCTATTTCAGAAGCTTAATGACTTAGCCATTATGAAATTTACAAAATCTAACTAGCAAAAGGGAACAGAATAGAGAATGGATATTTGGGTAATTTTAGTTCTCTACTAGAAAAGATTTTGTTTTAAATTTAGTACCTGGTACTCAATTTATATAGAGAAAAATGCATAGTTACTTCAAATTTGATATCTTTGGGAGAGTTACATGATTGAACATTTCTATCATTCAGAAATAAGTAATATCATCTATAATTTAGTAAATAGCTCATTTTCTTGAAGCTTACTATTGGTAAAATAGATTTGGATATACTAACTCATAAAATTTCATTAACTTTAATTTGAAAATAACAAGAATAATATAAAATACTCATGCATTTGACATGATGACCACATCAAGTAATCTTAATCATAAAGGTTGGTGCATCAGTTACACTTTGCAGGAGTAGAGCAGCGAACCTCATTTCTTTGAACTGATTTGCTCTAACCACTCCAAAGAAAGAAGCATGCTCATGTTAATTATAATATGTGTTGTGGTGAGATAGCTATTTACCCCATAGAATATTATAATTAGAGTGAGATTATTCAACATGATGTGTAGTAAATCACAAATAAAATTGTATTTGGAAATTAATCATCTCATCCTATGCTTTTATGAGCCAGTAGTTTCAAAGACATGCCAACAGTCAATCATTTTAATATTGTTCTCTCAAAGCAGTTATTCTCTTTCTCTCACTGTTTTCTTTCAAGAATACAAATAAGTGCAAATGTAAGTGCAAGGCTTTGTGCATGTTTATGTTTCTCCATGTGGCTTTCTGTGTGCGAGTGCACCATGGAGATGTGTGCATGTGTGCCTGTGCTCGCGCTGCTTTCAAGTTCATCTTTTAAGATATGTTCACAGTTGGGATCACATTTGGGGAGGGTAGGAAGATTTGTATGCCTCTAGCTGTTGTAACCAGCACTGCTTTTAGTGCATTCTACTTTAATTTTTATTGAGCACTGTCTTTTAAGTTTTGAAGAACTTCGGTGACCATGTAGATATTATTATTTTAGAAATCCTAGTTCTACAAAACAGTGAATTTAAAAGCAATATAGAGAATACACAAGTTGTACATTTAGGATGAGACATGATGGAACTTTAAAGGGCATAAAAGCACAAGACAATAAAGTAGGAACAGGTAGGGAAATGGGAGGACGGCTGTTAGCAGTTCAAGGGCAGGGGGCTATAGATGATGTGTGCAAGGTGCAATTTCCTGAAGGCACAAAGGTCAGCACGTTGTAACTGTGTGTTTGTGTGTGTGTGTGTGTGTGTGTGTGTGTGTGTGTAAAAGTGGGGAGGGGTGGAAAGGAATAAGGAAGCACACTAAAACTTTGAAGAAGGAGGGGCATTTATTTGTAAAACTGATTTAGAAGCATTGTTTTTTAAAGATAAAGCTAATTAGTTTCCTTCCCTTCTTGAGTACATTTTCTTTTAAATTTTCAACGATGCTTTAATAACTTCTGAGTATTTCAACTTTTGACACGAGGAAGTGACATTTCTTTAACACTTTGCCAAGCAGGATGGGTACCCAGACTTCATACAATATTCTGAATTGTGGCTTTTTCTTTTTTGTGTGTGTGTTGTTTACAATAAACAAATTTAATTGTTTCAGATAAATCTTTTTCCACTTGCTATTTCCTTCTCACTCCTTACCTCTTAGTTGAATTTGAAATGTTTTCTCTCTTTCCAAATCATGACTGTGTTTTCTTTCTCCATCTACTGGGAGCAGCACTGAATATGGAAATACAGGAGTTTCTTTTAATTTGCAGCTAGCATTAAATTGTCACACAACTATCTAGTGTATTAATTTAGCAAGTTTGACAGAATTCTTCAAGCACTAAATTTTTGTAGGTCATTAGCAAACTATGTGTTGATCTATTTTCTTTGTTTATATGTTTTTTCTTAATGACTTAACCTAATGTATAAATGTTAGTGTGTTAGACAAACTCTTGTGGGGCACTAGAGAACAAAGCATGGGTACAAGAATCATAGTTTCAGAAAGTGACACACATGTTTTGAGCTTACATGCAATGTCACTTGACATATATTGGATCAAGATACATGTCTTCTAGTCAGGCGCCAGTGGCTCATGCCTGTAATCCTAGCTACTCAGGAGACAGAGATCAGGAGGATCGCAGTTCGAAGCCAGCCCAGGCAAATGGTTTTTGAGACCCTATTTCTAAAAAAACCCAACACAGAAAAAGGCTGGCAGAGTAGCTTAAGGCATAGGCCCTGAGTTCAAACCCCAGTACCACAAAAATGAAGTCACTTGCTCCATTTTATAAATGGAGTTATTGAGCTATTAATAGTTCAGGATACTCAAACTTCATTTCATGGTAGCATACTTGCTTTTGAAAGTACTATTTAAGATTGCAAAATCCATTTGAAATCTGGCTGTTGACCTTCAGAATTCCTTCCATGTGTTTTTGTCTCTGTGGCTCCTCAGGAGAGAAGAATGTTTTCATACAGCAGTATTTCCACTGAACTACAGCTGAAATACAATATTTATTTCTTGTGCTGCTGATATGGCATATTTTGGATATTTAATAAATGGACTTTTCAAAAGACCTAATTAAATCATTATTCTTGGCAAGACATTTCCAGATACTCACTCCCACTATTAATTCACCACAGCAGCTGATTTTGAACATGAAAAAGATTCTTTTTATCAATGTAGTCTGGTGTTTTTCCTTCCTAGCAGAAGACTTATCACAACTTTAAGCGTATAGTTTGTTATTATGGTCATTTTGTAGATGACATTTCAAAATACCAAACTATTTGTGCAACAGCTTTAAATAGATTTCTTTGCTTTCCCCATATTCCCAAGAATGTATCATCTTAATAGGTCAGAACTGAATGTAGCAGCTTTCATACCTGCTGTACTTTACTGGAATAATGGAATTCCTCAGGAAGAAGAATAAATAGTTAAGAATGTGGCCAGATTAGCAGTCCAAAATTTGATTTGCATATTTTTGTTAAACCATAAAATTATAATAAATGTTAGCTACTCATGTAATACACCCGAATATACAAGGTACATATGGGCAGTGTATAAAACTCAGCTCTTCCACGATTAAATTAAAAATGGTTTTGAGGCGTTCACTTTATTAAGTTTTAAAATTGGCTTTGAGACTGCAGAATAAAACTGTTGCAAATGTCAGTAAACATAAATTATGAAAGAAGGTTTTTTTATTATAAATTCTTTATTAGCATACATTCATTATACAGGAGGGCATTCATAGTGACAATTTGGATTAGACTTCTACCATACATTTTTGCTGTAGACTATTAGAAATCATTCCATTATATGTTTGATTTTGGAAGGAAAAAACATGTCGCCTATGATAGAAAAGATGATGGAGACCGTGGATGGCGTTCTCTCTTAGTATCCCAGCTGTACATCCCTACACAGCACAGTGTACATTGCTCATAGTAATCTTTTAAAAGTTCTTAGTCTGATTATTTTATAAATAAATTGTTTGAGGTTAATAATGGAGAAAATATAAATGTGTATATTTAAATCAAAAGGTAGTTTCTCAAGTCTAAACTCTAAAATTACTTACACCTCAGTGTCAAGATTAGCAATTACACATCAGAAACTATATTTTCCCTGGGAGATGAGGCAACTCTAACCAAATTTCCATTTATATGGAGAAGTCTTAGTTAAAAAAATTAGAAATAAAAATAACTAGCATGGTTCTATACTTAAATATTTCTTAAGGATCATTCTAGGTTTTGCACATCTATCAACTAATTTAATCTTCACAACTCTGTTTTGCAGAGAATACAAACAAGAAACATAGAGTCAACAAGAATAAGTGTGTGTCCAAAGAATCAGCCCCAAAAGTAATCCCACAGCAACATATCAAGCTTCCAGTGCATATTTAACTCACTATTCTCACCACAATACATGCCATGAGAGGGCTGTTTCCA